TGGCGCGGGGGGAGGTGGGGGGGGAGACCCTTGTGGCCGGCCTCTCCTCGCCTGGGTCTCCCCCTCTCTCTCCATCCCTCTCTCCATCTATCCCTGCCTCCATCTCCCCTCTCCCGCCACCGTTCCTCCATCCCTCCTTCCATCTCCCCATCCCTCTCTCCCTCTATCCTCTCTGTCCATCCATCTCTCCATCCCTCCTCCATCTCTCCATCCCTCCTTCCATCTCCCCATCCCTCTCTCCCTCTATCCTCTCTGTCCATCCATCTCTCCATCCCTCCTCCATCTCTCCATCCCTCCTTCCATCTCCCCATCCCTCTCTCCCTCTATCCTCTCTGTCCATCCATCTCTCCATCCCTCCTCCATCTCTCCATCCCTCCTTCCATCTCCCCATCCCTCTCTCCCTCTATCCTCTCTGTTCATCCATCTCTCCATCCCTCCTCCATCTCTCCATCCCTCCTTCCATCTCCCATCCCTCTCTCCCTCTATCCTCTCTGTTCATCCATCTCTCCATCCCTCCTCCATCTCTCCATCCCTCTCTCCCTCTAGCCTCTCTGTTCATCCCTCCATCTCTCTCTCCATCCCTCCATCCTCTTTTCATCACGCCACCCATCCCTCTCATCCACCGCCACCTCCTGCCATCCTTCTCCCTCCCTCCTACACCTCCCTCCATCTCCTCTACCCCTCCGCTGCTCCCTCATCCGTCCCACCATCCCTCTCTCCCTGCCTCCGTCCCTCTCCCTTCCTCCCTCCATCCCTTCCTCTCTTCCTCCATCTCCTCCTGCCATCTCTTCTCCTCCCTCCCTCTCGCCATCCCTCCCACGCTCTGCCCGGCCCTCTCTCCTTTCCCTTCTCTCTCCCTCCATTTCCTCTCTCCATCCCGCCCTCCCTCCACCCTCTCCCCGTCCCGCACCCACATCCGCGTGTGCGAGGAGGGGGCGCAGCGGGCAAGGACCGGGGTGCGGGAGGTGGAACAGCGAGCCCTGTGCAGGGTGCCGGGTGCCCATGCAAGGTGCAGGGTGCCCATGCAAGGTGCAGGACACCTATGAAAGGCGCAGGGTGCCCATGTTGGGTGCAGAACACCCACTCAAGGTGCAGGACACCCATGTAAGGCACAGGGTGTCCATGCAGGGTGTAGGACACCTGTGCAAGGTGCAGGGTGCCCATGTAGGGTGCAGAACACCCATGCAAGGCACAGGGTGCCCATGTGGGGTGCAGGACACCTGTGCAAGGTGCAGGGTGCCCATGCAAGGTGCAGGGTGCCCATGTGGGGTGCAGAACACCCATGCAAGGTGCAGGACACCCATGCAAGGCACAGGGTGCCCATGTGGGGTGCAGGACACCCATGCAAGGTGCAGGGTGCCCATGCAAAGCACAGGGTGCCCATGTGGGGTGCAGGACACCCATGTGGGGTGCAGGACACCCATGCAAGGCACAGGGTGCCCATGTAGGGTGCAAGCTGCCCATGTGGGGTGCAGGACACCCATGCAAGGTGCAGGACACCCATGCAAAGCAGAGGGTGCCCATGTGGGGTGCAGGACACCCATGCAAGGTGCAGGACACCCATGCAAGGCACAGGGTGCCCATGTAGGGTGCAGGACACCCATGCAAGGTGCAGGGTGCCCATGCAAAGCACAGGGTGCCCATGTGGGGTGCAGGACACCCATGTGGGGTGCAGGACACCCATGCAAGGCACAGGGTGCCCATGTAGGGTGCAAGCTGCCCATGTGGGGTGCAGGAC